GCACCACAACAAGGTCCACTGGTAGAAACTTGATGCCTATCCAATAGTGTTTCCAGTACTGGATATGGAATATTTAAAAACCGTAACCTGCGGATCATACCAGTTGAAAGTAGCACCCAGATATATTGCTGAGCATCTGACTCCTGCTGGAGACTTTAAAGTTTGGGTCTATCAGCATGATGAAAATCTTCTCAAAATCCATTCAAGGCACAAATCACAGTGAAAATACAATGTTTGGATTGTGTTTGACAGAATTGTTCAAGATGACCCTGTCAAAGATTACTACTGTGTCTGTCCAGCAGGCAAGTGAACCGTTGGAATGTGTGCACATGTTGCATGCATTTTGTATTTCGTGGGCCATGATCAGCACCAAGATCAAACTAACCCAGTCCATGCAACACTCAAGTTCAAACAAGCAATCACTTGAGCAGTTCTGCTATACTAAAATGCAAAGTAATGTGCTGCAACTGTTCTATCTCTTAGTAGCTTCTCAAAGTGCTGCAAATTATGGATCGTAACTGACAAAGGCAAAACCCGTCGCTATTGCTGTACATAATCTATCTAATAAGGTCACTTTATTGACCTTCATCAAAAGATTTGTAGAAAGCTGCTAATTAAATCTTCAAGTTGTGAAACTTGCACAAAAAAGTCTTTATCTTAACAAATTTCATTTGTTTGACCTTGAACAGAGGTCAAGTTCAGCAATGTTAACCAAACTAATACAAATTGACATAACAACCACCTTGTCAAATAGCAAGACCTTACAGACTTTTGGTTATTAAGCTGTCACTAACGAAAATGAAAAAAAAAAATCAGAGTTTCTTGGTTTTTGTAAGCAAATGTGAAAAATGACAAATTTACCGGTTTTCGTTTTATCCAAGAATCCATCTTTTGAAAGATATCATCTGTGGCCAACTTTTAAGCAAGTATGAAAGTAAGACTGGTTTCAGAAGTATGAAAATTGAAGTGTCCAAAATAGTACTTTTCTCAAAAGTAAGGACTTTTTATATGGTTTTTGGCTGCATTTTTCAACATAAAAGAAACGTTACTCCTGAAATAGTGTGATATGTGGTATCAAAATGTTGGTTGGTACAATGTGCACACATTAATGATGTAATTTGATTGGAATTGCCTTATAATAATGCACTAGAAGGAATTACATAACAACTACTTTAACACCCACCAAGGTGTTAGTCAAGGAGCTCCCATTTTATAAGAAATCAATTCCGAGACTAACTTTTCCGTATTTAAGCTTCTGATACCCATATCTATTTATGGTTATCATATTTTGAAATTCCAAGTGGGGACTGATGCTAATGTTAAATTCCCATATATGTTGACCCAACCTTTAATGATGAGATTTCTGTGTCTCCTGAACAGTAAAAAGAAGCCTTGTACCAGTTCAATCATGTATTGACATGTTCAGGAGCTGAGAACTGGTTGTCTAAGTTAGTCATCACCAAGATATTAACTGAATTTCTCTCTAACTAATCCATGGACATTATAACTTAATTCGGTGCCATTTTTTGTTCCCATAGCTGTGTTTTTTTGTATCATTTTTTTGTAGATGGTAGTCTAGAAGTTGCGGGTTGATGCAATCCTGTAGACCCTTCAGAACTGTTTTGTTGGCCACAAACTCCTTCAGTAATTCAATATATTTCTGGCACGTATGTGCCCGAATGCTTAGTTTATGATAAGCTTTGAAATAGGGTACCAATGTAGCTGGAAGGTTGACCCTATCCTTGGTCCCTTCCACCCTTGGTCTCTTCTTCTCGGAGTAACTAGTTGTATCTTCGGTATTAAACTGGGTTGGAAACTTAAAGGAGAATGTGTCAGTTCCTTCCTTAGGCATAGTTGGTTAGTGGGGTCGGTCCTAAGGCGGACTTTGTGTTCCCTTCGATGGATCCCTTGAGATACAGGGGCTCTAAATAAAAAACTTAGTAGGATTTACGTAGTAGAGCCAACGCCGTTCATGTTAGGTTGGTTTGGTGTTAGGTTCCTTTACTCTTCAGCTGGATACACGAGAGTATGCAGGGTGATTGAGCAATAGAGAATATCAGGTATAGAATGTCAATCACAACGGGTTCCGAGTAAGTTTTGATAATTATTAACCGTCATCAGGACGACAATATTACAATTGTTTAGGATTAAAAAACTATTATTCCCATACCCTATTCCATAAATACTCTACAATCACATTATGACATATCATCGCAAGCACGATAACTCTCATACTTATTACCCCTCTTGATGAAGCGGTCATATAAAAGTAAACATTCTTGCTCGAAATGTACCGACACTTTTTCTAGGTGTCTGGGAAAACGGATTGCTCTTATTAGGTGTGCCGGGTGACAACTATTGTGATGTTAATATAGTATAAAGTAATAGATTTGTATACAGTAATAGATTTACATAGTAAAAAGTAATAGATTTGTATACAGTAATAGATTTACATAGTAAAAAGTAATAGATTTGTATACAGTAATAGATAAACATAGTAAAAAGTAATAGATTTGTATACAGTAATAGATATAGTATAAAGTATATAGTATATAGTAATAGATTTGTATACAGTAATAGATAAACATAGTATAAAGTAATAGATTTGTATACAGTAATAGATAAATATAGTATAAAGTAATAGATTTGTATACAGTAATAGATAAACATAGTATAAAGTAATAGATTTGTATACAGTAGTAGATAAATATAGTATAAAGTAATAGATTAGTATAAAGTAAACATAGATTTGTATACAGTAATAGATAGATATAGTATATAGTAATAGATTTGTATACAGTAATAGATAAACATAGTATAAAGTAATAGATTTGTATACAGTAATAGATAAATATAGTATAAAGTAATAGATTTGTATACAGTAATAGATAAACATAGTATAAAGTAATAGATTTGTATACAGTTATAGATAAACATAGTATAAAGTAATAGATTTGTATACAGTAGTATAAACATAGTATAAAGTAATAGATTTGTATATAGTAATAGATAAACATAGTATAATGTAAATGAGTTGTATACAGTAATAGATAAACATAGTATAAAGTAATAGATTTGTATATAGTAATAGATAAATATAGTATAAAGTAATAGATTTGTATACAGTAATAGATAAACATAGTATAAAGTAATAGATTTGTATACAGTAGTAGATAAATATAGTATAAAGTAATAGATTTGTATACAGTAGTAGATAAACATAGTATAAAGTAATAGATTTGTATACAGTTATAGATAAACATAGTATAAAGTAATAGATTTGTATATAGTAATAGATAAACATAGTATAAAGTAATAGATTTGTATAAGTAATAGATTTGATAAAGTATAGTATAAAGTAATAGATTTGTATACAGTAATAGATAAACATAGTATAAAGTAATAGATTTAGTATAAAGTATACAGTAATAGATAGATAAAGTAATAGATTTGTATACATAGTATAAAAAGTAATAGATTTGTATACAGTAGTAGATAAACATAGTATAAAGTAATAGATTTGTATACAGTAATAGATAAACATAGTATAAAGTAATAGATTTGTATACAGTAATAGATAAACATAGTATAAAGTAATAGATTTGTATATAGTAATAGATAAACATAGTATAAAGTAATAGATTTGTATAAGAATAGATTTGTATACAGATAAAAACATAGTATAAAGTAATAGATTTGTATATAGTAATAGATAAACATAGTATAAAGTAATAGATTTGTATACAGTAGTATAGATAAACATAGTATAAAGTAATAGATTTGTATATAGTATATAGATAAACATAGTATAAAGTAATAGATTTGTATATAGTAATAGATAAACATAGTATAAAGTAATAGATTTGTATACAGTAATAGATAAATATAGTATAAAGTAATAGATTTGTATACAGTAATAGATAAACATAGTATAAAGATTTGTATACAGTAATAGATTTATAAAGTATAGATTTGTATACAGTAATAGATAAACATAGTATAAAGTAATAGATTTGTATACAGTAATAGATAAATATAGTATAAAGTAATAGATTTGTATACAGTAGTAGATAAATATAGTATAATAGATTTGTATACAGTAATAGATAAACATAGTATAAAGTAATAGATTTGTATACAGTATAGTATAAAGTAATAGATTTGTATATAGATAATATAGTATAAAGTAATAGATTTGTATACAGTAGTAGATAAATATAGTATAAAGTAATAGATTTGTATACAGTAGTAGATAAATATAGTATAAAGTAATAGATTTGATTTGTATACAGTAGATTTGTATAGATAAAAACATAGTATAAAGTAATAGATTTGTATACAGTAATAGATAAACATAGTATAAAGTAATAGATTTGTATACAGTATAAAGTAATAGATTTGTATACAGTAGTAGATAAATATAGTATAAAGTAATAGATTTGTATAAGTAGATAAACATAGTATAAAGTAATAGATTTGTATACAGTAGTAAACATAGTATAAAGATAAATATAGTATAAAGTAATAGATTTGTATACAGTACATAGTATAAAGTAATAGATTTGTATACAGTAGTATAAACATAGTATAAAGTAATAGATTTGTATATAGTAATAGATAAACATAGTATAAAGTAATAGATTTGTATACAGTAGTAAAAGTAATAGATTTGTATAAGTATAGATAAACATAATAAAGTAATAGATTTGTATATAGTATAGATAAATATAGTATAAAGTAATAGATTTGTATACAGTAGTAGATAAATATAGTATAAAGTAATAGATTTGTATACAGTTATAGATAAACATAGTATAAAGTAATAGATTTGTATACAGTTATAGATAAATATAGTATAAAGTAATAGATTTGTATACAGTAGTAGATTAACATAGTATATAGTAATAGATTTGTATACAGTAATAGATAATTATAGGAAGGCTTATCTGCTGAAATTACAAGTTTTTTTGTATATTTATAGAAGATCTGTTTCTTTACAGGAAGTTGAAGGTAGGAAACCCAAAAGAGGACAGTAGCTTCATGGGTGCTTTGATAAGTAGGGAACATCTGGTGAAGGTGAAAGGTTATGTGAAGATTGGTGTAGAAGAAGGAGCCACCATTATGTGTGGTGAAGGAGTAGAGTCACTAGACCTGCCTGCTGAAAATAAGGAAGTGAGTGTTGCTATTTATCTGTCTTGTAGTTACAAGTGGTACATGGGATTACTAAAATGACCCAAAATTTAATATTACAGCCTTAGAAGCTGAACCTTGTAATTAAAGGCCCTTGATTTAACCGTAAAGCCTTGTAAAATGTAAATTTAGTAGTAGAGCCCTTAATTGCCCAATATTTAATGATAAAGCTCTGGAAAAAGTCCTAGATTTTTAGCCCACCATCTGATGATGGTGGACTATTCAAATTGACCTGTGTCCATGGTCCGTCATCGGTAGCCCATCCATTTGTAAACAATTTTTGTTTTGTATTTCTTGAGAAGTACTTAATGGATCTTTGTCAAATTGCATTTGTAGGTTCCCCTTGATCCCTAGTTGTGCCAGTTTGATTTTGGGACTGATCAGAAAAACAAAATGGCTGACAGACAGCCATCTTAGATTTTTACTTCGAAAGATTGTTATCGCTATTTCTTCAGAACTACAGCATAGGTCTTTCTCAAATTTCATGTGCATGCTTTCCTTGATCTCTAGTTGTGCCTGTTTGATTTTGGGACTGATCAGAAAAAACAAAATGTCTCACAAGTTGCCATCTAGGATTTTGACTTTGAAAGTTTGTTATCACTGTTTTTTAAGAAGTACTCTATAGATTTTTCTCAACTTTAATGTAAAGGTTTCAATAGGTCACTAGTTGTGCCTTTTAGAGTTTTGGACTAAATAGCAGACAGACAGCCATCTTGGATTTTGCCTAGTAAAGATTGCTATTCCTATTTTTTTTAAGAAGTTCTGAATGGATATCTCTCAAATTTCATACAAAGGAATGTTCAAATTACCCAAATCAATGAAAATGCCTTCAATTTAAACCTAAACAAAAGTGAAATTTTAACCTCCAGATGTGTTCTTTCAACAATCTTAAGTGTCAGAATTTGTATGGTCAGTATTTATTTCCTAAAGACATTTTCATGCAGATTATATTTGATGTCTGCTGTGTCATCATTAAAATGATGACTTTTGTTATTAATTTGTAAAATTAAAAAATAAATCATAACCCATCACTATTTATCAAACTTTCTCTTACAGGGATATTTCATGAGACCAACTGTTATAACAGACCTGAAGGAAAATTCGCGTCTACTGAAGGAAGAAATCTTTGGTCCTGTCACATGTGTGGTGCCTTTTGATACAGAGGAGGAGGTAGGTGTGACATACATTGTATATATGTAGTTTTGTCTGATACAGAGGAGGAAGGTGTGACATACATTGTATATATGTAGTACTGTCTGATACAGAGGAGGAAGGTGTGACATACATTGTATATATGTAGTACTGTCTGATACAGAGGAGGAAGGTGTGACATACATTGTATATATGTATATGTCTGATAGTACTGTTGTATATATGTAGTACTGATACAGAGGAGGAAGGTGTGACATACATTGTATATATGTAGTACTGTCTGATACAGAGGAGGAGGAGGAAAGTGTGATATACATTGTATATATGTAGTTTTGTCTGATACAGAGGAGGAAGGTGTGACATACATTGTATATATGTAGTACTGTCTGATACAGAGGAGGAGGACGTAGGTGTGACATACATTGTATATATATAGTACTGTCTGATACAGAGGAGGAAGGTGTGACATACATTGTATATATGTAGTACTGTCTGATACAGAGGAGGAGGAGGAAAGTGTGACATACATTGTATATATGTAGTACTGTCTGATACAGAGGAGGAAGGTGTGACATACATTGTATATATGTAGTACTGTCTGATACAGAGGAGGAGGTGTGACATACATTGTATATATGTGTGTCTGATACATGTGACATTTGTATATATGTAGTATCTGATACAGAGGAGGAAGGTGTGACATACATTGTATATATGTAGTACTGTCTGATACAGAGGAGGAGGAAGGTGTGACATACATTGTATATATGTAGTACTGTCTGATACAGAGGAGGAAGGTGTGACATACATTGGTGTGACATGTGACATTGTATATATGTAGTACTGTCTGATACAGAGGAGGAACATACATTGGTGTGACATACATTGTATATATGTAGTACTGTCTGATACAGAGGAGGAGGAAGGTGTGACATACATTGTATATATGTAGTACTGTCTGATACAGAGGAGGAGGAAGGTGGTGACATACATTGTATATATGTAGTAGTCTGATACAGAGGAGGAGGAATATGTGACATACATTGTATATATGTAGTACTGTCTGATACAGAGGAGGAAGGTGTGACATACATTGTATATATGTAGTACTGTCTGATACATTGTGACTTATATATATGTAGTACTGTCTGATACAGAGGAGGAAGGTGTGACATACATTGTATATATGTAGTACTGTCTGATACAGAGGAGGAGGAAGGTGTGACATACATTGTATATATGTAGTACTGTCTGATACAGAGGAGGAGGAAGGTGTGACATACATTGTATATATGTAGTACTGTCTGATACAGAGTATATATGAGGAGGAGGAGGTGTGACATACATTGTATATATATGTACTGTATATATGTGATACATAGGAGGAGGAGGTGTGACATACATTGTATATATGTAGTACTGTCTGATACAGAGGAGGAGGAAGGTGTGACATACATTGTATATATGTACTACTGTCTGTCTGATACAGAGGAGGAAGGTGTGACATACATTGTATATATGTAGTACTGTCTGATACAGAGGAGGAAGGTGTGACATACATTGTATATATGTAGTACTGTCTGATACAGAGGAGGAGGAAGGTGTGACATACATTGTATATATGTAGTACTGTCTGATACAGAGGAAGAAGGTGTGACATACATTGTATATATGTAGTTCTGTCTGATACAGAGGGGGAAGGTGTGACATACATTGTATATATGTAGTACTGTCTGATACAGTGGAGGAAGGTGTGACATACATTGTATATATGTAGTACTGTCTGATACAGAGGAGGAAGGTGTGACATACATTGTATATATGTAGTTCTGTATGATACAGAGGAGGAAGGTGTGACATACATTGTATATATGTAGTACTGTCTGATACAGAGGAGGAAGGTGTGACATACATTGTATATATGTAGTACTGTCTGATACAGAGGAGGAAGGTGTGACAGGTGTGACATACATTGTATATATGTAGTACTGTCTGATACAGAGGAGGATGAGGTGTGACATAAATTGTATATATGTAGTTCGAGGAGGAGGAAGGTGTGACATACATTGTATATATGTAGTACTGTCTGATACAGAGGAGGAGGAAGGTGTGACATACATTGTATATATGTAGTACTGTCTGATACAGAGGAGGAAGGTGTGACATACATTGTATATATGTAGTACTGTCTGATACAGAGGAGGAGGGTGTGAGGTGTGACATACATTGTATATATGTAGTACTGTCTGATACAGACGAGGAGGAAGGTGTGACATACATTGTATATATGTAGTACTGTCTGATACAGAGGAGGAAGGTGTGACATACATTGTATATATGTAGTACTGTCTGATACAGAGGAGGAAGGTGTGACATACATTGTATATATGAGTACTGTCTGAGGAGGAAGGTGTGACATACATTGTATATATGTAGTACTGTCTGATACAGAGGAGGAAGGTGTGACATACATTGTATATATGTAGTACTGTCTGATACAGAGGAGGAGGAGGTGTGACATACATTGTATATATGTAGTTCTGTCTGATACAGAGGAGGAAGGTGTGACATACATTGTATATATGTAGTACTGTCTGATACAGTGGAGGAAGGTGTGACATACATTGTATATATATGTAGTACTGTCTGATACAGAGGAGGAGGAAGGTGTGACATACATTGTATATATGTAGTACTGTCTGATACAGAGGAGGAGGAAGGTGTGACATACATTGTATATATGTAGTACTGTCTGATACAGAGGAGGAAGGTGTGACATACATTGTATATATGTAGTACTGTCTGATACAGAGGAGGAGGAAGGTGTGACATACATTGTATATATGTAGTACTGTCTGATACAGAGGAGGAGGAGGAAGGTGTGACATACATTGTATATATGTAGTACTGTCTGATACAGAGGAGGAAGGTGTGACATACATTGTATATATGTAGTACTGTCTGATACAGAGGAGGAGGAGGAAGGTGTGACATACATTGTATATATGTAGTACTGTCTGATACAGAGGAGGAGGAGGAAGGTGTGACATACATTGTATATATGTAGTACTGTCTGATACAGAGGAGGAAGGTGTGACATACATTGTATATATGTAGTACTGTCTGATACAGAGGAGGAGGAAGGTGTGACATACATTGTATATATGTAGTACTGTCTGATACAGAGGAGGAAGGTGTGACATACATTGTATATATGTAGTACTGTCTGATACAGAGGAGGAAGGTGTGACATACATTGTATATATGTAGTACTGTCTGATACAGAGGAGGACGTACATTGTATATATGTATATATGAGGTGTGACATACATTGTATATATATGTACTGTCTGATACAGAGGAGGAGTATATATGTAAGGTGTGACATACATTGTATATATGTAGTACTGTCTGATACAGAGGAGGAGGAAGGTGTGACATACATTGTATATATGTAGTACTGTCTGATACAGAGGAGGAAGGTGTGACATACATTGTATATATGTAGTTCTGTCTGATACAGAGGAGGAAGGTGTGACATACATTGTATATATGTAGTACTGTCTGATACAGAGGAGGAAGGTGTGACATACATTGTATATATGTAGTACTGTCTGATACAGAGGAGGAGGAGGAAGGTGTGACATACATTGTATATATGTAGTACTGTCTGATACAGAGGAGGAAGGTGTGACATACATTGTATATATGTAGTACTGTCTGATACAGAGGAGGAGGAAGGTGTGACATACATTGTATATATGTAGTACTGTCTGATACAGAGGAGGAAGGTGTGACATACATTGTATATATGTAGTACTGTCTGATACAGAGGAGGAGGTGTGACATACATTGTATATATGTAGTACTGTCTGATACAGAGGAGGAAGGTGTGACATACATTGTATATATGTAGTACTGTCTGATACAGAGGAGGAAGGTGTGACATACATTGTATATATGTAGTACTGTCTGATACAGAGGAGGAAGGTGTGACATACATTGTATATATGTAGTACTGTCTGATACAGAGGAGGAAGGTGTGACATACATTGTATATATGTAGTACTGTCTGATACAGAGGAGGAGGAGGAAAGTGTGACATACATTGTATATATGTAGTACTGTCTGATACAGAGGAGGAAGGTGTGACATACATTGTATATATGTAGTACTGTCTGATACAGAGGAGGAAGGTGTGACATACATTGTATATATGTAGTACTGTCTGACTGATACAAATGGCTTTTCTTGTTGCTTTTGTCATACATATTTTTATACCAGACAAGTTGAAACACAACTGATCTTGAATGATTTAGTGAGAATTAACTGATTCTTGTTTTAAATAAGCACATTCTATTTTCCTGTTAGGCCATTGTAAAAGCCAATGATGTACAGTATGGACTTGCAGCCACACTCTGGACCCAGGATGTTTCTCGTCTTCACAGAGTCTCCAGGAAAATACAGGTACTTCACACCTCTATTTGTTACTTTGTAAATAATTTTATATCAAGTCAATGCTCGCCTGAAAATTACAGAACTGCTCTATCTTCACAGCATTTTTATGGAAATACAGGTGACACTATTTAGTCGACAGTTTCTGGAAAACGTTTTTAATGGAAAGCTTTTTTTACTGTATTCCTACCATCCCTTAGGAGGATAGCGTTGCTCATGTGTAAATAGAGATAGGGTGTCGTGATTACCTCCCTTGGTGGTAAATTGCCTGTTTTCCTGTTTTAGGCTGGCACGGTTTGGGCCAACTGCTGGCTTGTACGAGACCTCAATATGCCGTTTGGAGGGATGAAGGATTCAGGGATAGGACGAGAAGGTTGTGTGGAATCCATGGATTTCTACACTGAGCAGAAAACAATTTGTATTAAGTTGTAACACATTGGAATTTGTTGTTGAAGCAGTTCTTCACATTATTAAAATAGTGCTAGGGTTAAAACAGTCAACATATTAAGGCTTATGATGTGTGTTTCATGCCTCATTATTCAAACGTAAGACGTTTGTTATATCAGAATATACATGTTAGGATTGAAAAGTCTGTTGTTATTGTGTAATAATGTTTTTATTTACTTTTTTTATAAAAATGTTTGACATAAAATCGTGTACACTTAGGCCAAAATGATAAATGTAAGACATTTATAACATGGTAGCAGTATTATATTGTAAATAAACCAAATCAAATGTAATATTTTTATATATCACATGATTTCTTTGTTTTTTCTATGAATATGCCAATATCCAATTTTTACATATTACAGGTTGTCAACTGATTTCTATGTTCCTATATTTTCCTCTATTTCAGGAAATTTGTCACCGATAAATGTAGAGATTGTAAATATTTCTTTGATATGGCTTTTGGCTTCTTTATTCTACAGGTTAGAGAATTCTTCAGTCTTTATGATATGTGGTTTATGAAACTCCTCACAAATTTTCCAATTAACTCCCTAAAAGCTCGCTGCAATGAAAAATTTTTTTTTTATTTGTTTCATGAATTCACTTATCAAATGGAAAGTCATGTAAGATTCTGTACATTAGAATGTAATTATATTATATGTTGTGATATCAGGTTTACAAATGCAATAAAATGACATATCACACTCCCAGATTGCATAGAGACCTCGGTCATACGGTGAACAGACGTTATACAGACCTCGGTCATACGGTGGACAGACGTTATACAGACCTCGGTCATACGGTGGACAGACGTTATACAGACCTCGGTCACGTTGGACAGACATTATACAGACCTCGGTCATACGGTGGACAGACGTTATACAGACCTCGCTCATACGGTGGACAGACGTTATTGAGACCTTGGTCACGTTGGACAGACGTTATACAGACCTCGGTCATACGGTGGACAGACGTTATACAGACCTCGGTCATACGGTGGACAGACGTTATACAGACCTCGGCCATACGGTGGACAGACGTTATAGAGAGCTCGGTCATACGGTGGACAGACGTTATACAGACCTCGGTCATACGGTGGACAGACGTTATACAGACCTCGGCCATACGGTGGACAGACGTTATAGAGAGCCTCGGCCATACGGTGGACAGACGTTATAGACCTCGAGCTCGGCCATACGGTGGACACGTTATAGAGAGCTCGGTCATACGGTGGACACGTTATACAGTTATACAGACCTCGGCCATACGGTGGACAGACGTTATAGAGAGCTCGGTCATACGGTGGACAGACGTTATACAGACCTCGGCCATACGGTGGACAGACGTTATACAGACCTCGGTCATACGGTGGACAGACGTTATACAGACCTCGGTCATACGGTGGACAGACGTTATCGAGACCTCGGTCACGTTGGACAGACATTAATTAAGATTTTTTCATCAGTTTTACACTGAATGTAATTGGTATATAGCTTTAAATCAGCAAGATCTCAGGTGAGTTTGATGGTCATTTTTAAAAATCTGTGGACATTTGCTAAATTTATAGGATTTTAGATCCTTTAAAATAGAAATTTTTTCTGAATGACTTGTTTATTTACTTACTAGAGTGTTGATATAAACCTTTGATATGTTGCAAAAAATGCCTTTCACTTGAATGTCTTAGTCTTCATCTCTGCTTAGCCTTCATCACGGCTTATTGTTGGGGGCATATTGTTTCTCAAGCAGATAATTTTTTCTGGTCTTAATGTTCCTCTAATGAAACACCTGGTATTTCAAGGACTCGATTCACAAATCTGAGATAAAAATGAAAGCATGTGGAAGATTTTACCTAATTGTTAGAATTATCAGTATTAATCTGAAGTGTTATATTGTAATAAACATTTCAGTGTGTGTTCTATAGTCTCGTTTGACCTTTTTGTCTTACATGTGCCTTAAATTTCTTTTACATTCCTGTACCTATGTATTATGTAAGCATAATAAACTTGATTCAAGCTAGGACATATAACACTGTCAATCTAATTACTAGGTGTATGTCCCTGGCTTGATGAACAAGAGGGTTGAAAGGATGTGTGGATGTAGCATGACTTTGGGTTGGGGTTAAGATTGTAACATTACATTTATAATAGATAATTGGAATATAAAATAAACCGTATGGAAAAAATAATTCTTACTTTTGTTTGTTTTTTTTTCAACACGACAATTCATCTGAGTAAATGTACAGTTGAGTTTAGACTTATCTTTACACTCTAGTTCACTTCTAGTGCACCAGGAAAAAACTTCAGACTACAGGTAAACTAAAAGTGCACAATGGTCCATACAGGTGATGTGAAAGAATCCCTGATTTATAATGAGTTGAGATCATGGCCTCCTGGTGTTTCAGCCCAGAGACAATACAACCCAAGGCTGTCTGTGGTTTTACCAGCACAGCTGTAGAGAGATACATTTTTTGTGCCTTGTATTACAGTACTACCAGTTTGGTACCACATCATTACAGATATTGAATAAATATAAAAAATGTATAATTATTAAAATGAAACATAATTTTTTTAAATTGAAAATATCTCATTCAAAACCTGCGGTAACTGCTGTTTATAGATGAAAGTGTATGCGTTATTATCCCTTTATTAATGAAATAAAAATATTATATTTGATTACACAAAATGAGACTTAAATATGCATGTAATGTGCCGTCATGTGATCTTATATCGGTAATTATAATTTATATTTTCTTGGCAACGGCAAAACCAACAATTGTTTGAAATTTAGATAAGTATATGATTTACTTAGGAGATATTTGTTAATATTAATATTAATCACTTTCTTAAACTGTGTATTCTTACATTCCTTACAGTCTCTCCACATAATTCAATCTTCAAATATTAGGTATTACTGCATTATTTCGTTGTCGCTAGGATCCAGAATCAGCTCAGTGGTTGCCAGCGTCCCCACTTTCCTTCCCTTCCCAATCTTTTGAAGCAGTATTGACTGTATTACAGGTAAAATGGTAACATCTGGCCACTTTGACCAATCCACAGTGCAATTAACTAGCCCCCAAACAATTTAATTAAAAGAGTCAACAATTTCACTTTTTTTCGTCGTAATACCGTCTGTGGTGATATGGAAGCTTGTCAGAATTTCTGAAAACAACAGGTTTTTTTGTTCATATTTACCTTTATATTCCATCAAAGACATATATAACACCGATATATACGTCTCTGATTCCATGCAGCAATATAATTGTTTTAAGTGTTCAGCAGTTTCAAGCCCTTCTTAGACTCAGAGAATAGTGTCGTCAGCATAAATAACCAAAACAATGATTTATCACTTAATTCAACACATTCGTTTATATTTAAAAGCAATTCATTTTCAAAATCATTAATATAGAAAGATAAAGGAAGGGAGATAACCCTTCACCTTGCATAAATCTTTTTTGTGTGGTCGAACAAGGTAGATAACTCTGATTTGTATTTTACTCGCGACTTAACTTTTTCGTAGATAGATTTAATTACAGTGTACATTTTGCCATTAATGCCAGTGCTTCATTTTGCACTAAATATACATCCCTGATAACACTATGCAAGACAAAAATAGCATTGGTTGTCCCGAAACCAGGACGGAACCCAAACTGGGTGTCTTATCTGACATTGTGGTTATCTGACCACTCTAATATTCTGTTATTAAGAACAGAAGTGAACAGCTTTGACAGACAACTCACTAAGGTTATGTCTTTGTATAACATCATCAGTATTCCCTTTTTTATGAAGAGGGATTTTAACACCACGTTACTAACTTTCTGGAAAATTTACTTTACCCAACTGTGTATAAGATTAATGACAGTCTCACTGGTACTCTTTCATTGAATTGAACATTGTACAGGTGTATTAGCCCTCCTGTGATTTTTAGACAAAAGACCTCCCTTTACAGTCATCATCCCACTCAGTCGACACGTTTTAGTATAGGGGAGAGGTAATGTTGTGACAGGGGAGAACAATTGATACTAATTACAGGTAAGGCTATAGTCAGTTTTACGAAAGTGACCGATTCTCAGGTAACAAAGAACCTTTTCTAACGGAAATCTCACAAGTAAAAGAATTCCATCAAAACATGTATAACCTTAAAAAATGACAGAACAGACAGTTGAAGAGGCCGCGGGCGCTCTGTCTATTCTCAGCTGGAATACTCGCGATCTGAGATCTAACCTCACAGAATTAAAAGACCTTCTCATACATCATACAGACTTAATTGAAATACAGGAAACTAAACACAACCAAGACAGGAAAATGCACAAACTTCAAGATTATTATGAACCTCTTACATTACAGGTTTAGCAATATATATAAAAAAGGATATTGCATATAAAACAATAAAAATACCAGACCCCCCCCTTCCCAAACACACACACACACACGCTCTTAGGTGCTGAAATTCGCAGCATTTTAATATCTACATAAGCCCTAGTATCACACTGAAAAAACCCGGAAAATGTAGAAAATAATCGTTAATCAATATCATAAATTCTTTATATCTGGAGACTTTAATGCATCAAATACCTTATTTGGTAGCGATAAAACAGGAAGAGGAGATTCTATAGAAAATTGGATATCTGATAATGACATCACTGTGCTTAACGACCCCTGGATTGACAACAACGGTCGATATAATAAACGGAAAACCTCACATCTAGATCTCACATTAGCGTCACCGGAAATAGCTACCACACTCAACACATTGGACTGCAAGCAACAACACACCAGGATCAGATCATTTCCCTACATTCGCAAAATTTAACTTAAAACCAATCAGAAACACAAGACTATTCCATTCCAAATGGATTTTCGATAAGTTTGATTGGAATAGATTTCAAAATTTATGTACTTAAGTGAATCAACACACCATCAAACATGATAATGTAGACACATATACAACAACACTTACAAGCAAATCCGTAGATATAGCAACACAATGTATCCCACAAACTTCAAGAAAACCTCAAAATAGAAAAAAACCTCTTTGTGGACAGAGGAATGTTCAGTAATCTAAAGAATAAACGTAGATGGGAAGACATATGCCAAAAAAATATCCCATGGAACAAAATGTAAAACACTACAAAACCGCCGAAAACAAATATAAGAAAACATGTAAAAAAAAACAAAAAAACCACACAAACAAAGAGAAGCATTGGTTAGAATTCTGTGGTTTCCTTTAACGATAAAACCAGTACTAGTACAATGTGGAATAATATCAAAGCCATACAAGGCATTCCTACAAACGATATGCACATTCTAGGTTAAAACACTGAAGGAAAATCAAACATACCAAAATAGTATACATATTGATCTATCACTTCCAAAACACCAGTAGCAATAACAACCGTACAGAAGATTTTTTTAGGAAACAAAAATAAAACATCACAGAAATTAAAAATTATCTTATAGATACAGGACAATATGATACAGATCTAAACATTCAGCCTAGAGGAATATTAGAACACTAAAAAGCAAAAAATACATCTCCCGGTATAGACAAACTATGATATACCATATTAAAAGAATGTCCCAGTGATATAAACCACCTTATTTTGGATTTAATTAACACTATTTGTGAGACAGGAAATTACCCAGTATCTTGGAATAGGGCTACTGTTATACTGATACTAAAACAGGGTACGGATTGTCATGTTAGTGTAACAGAGTTATCCCCCTTCTCGGAACCCCTGTCTATATTTGGTAGCGGGGATTTCCATTTTCTGTGTCGTACGCTGAGCGTTTCAAGATGTCGGACGTGTTTACATCGTTGAGCGATTCACAGAGTACAATTCTAGGAATATTACCGTCTCTAGTCCCCCAGAGAGTGGGTTTATTGCCCCATACAAGTTCAAGAATTATGTTCTTCCAATTGTTGTAAAATAGTCACTGCCTTTGATGCGCTATGCAAGTTGGAACTTATTACCAATCTGCCAATTTTTCCACTGTCCCATTTCGCCCCATAATGTTTTCATCCTGAATCGACCCACTATTTGCTCCCATCTCGATTTCGTTTTCTTTCTATGTTTTTGCTAAATATGAGCCGTAGTAGATTTTTCCCAATTACTCGTGTTGTGTGCCCAAATTTTGGTAAGTGACTTATGAGTGTTCATTTTGTTCTTTCAGTTTTTCACTACATACATGCTCACATCCGTAGTCTGATCTACATACATACATCGATCAACATGTTGTACTTCGTTTGATTTCTGCGTGTTAGCGACATACTTGAAGTATTGCTTTTTCTGGAATAAAATCGAAGCCAACATTTCTACATGCTTCAAGCGTTTTTCATTTTCATCGATCACAGGCTTGATAGTTATACTGATACTAAAACAGGGTACGGATAAAGAAGATCCGGCACTACTGTTATACTGATACTAAAACAGGGTACGGGTAAAGAAGATCCGGCATCATATAGACCAATATCCTTAAAATTTCTGTAAAACCGTCGAACCAATGATATATAACAGATTAAAGCACTTCCGAACGACCAATAACATGATGAGTCAAAATCAAAACGATTTTCGGAATCATAGACCCATCCTTGATTCACTAATTAGGCTAGCCAGGAAAATCCATCAGAGACAAAGGGAATCGCATTGTCCATAATTGACGAGAAATATAATGATCATACCAAATATTATACTGACGGATAAAACAAATTAATCCACAAACGAACAGGGTAAGGTAAGGTATTTATTCCGGAGAAAACAACACCGCATTATCACTCAGACTGACCGATCAGTGCTTCGTATATACCAGTGAAATAATTGCTAAAGAATTAGAAATTAAATTTATCAACATCAAAAAGTCCACAAACTGGGCAATAATTCTTACAGGTAGTCTTTCTTCATTACAATTAATACAGAGCAGAAATAGTGAAAGAACTTATGTAATTAATTCAATATTGAATCTAGTTAAAAACTTAAAACAACAGAGAATTTGGTAAAATATGAGTATATACCATCACATGTCAATATACCTGGAAATAAAAAGTTGATGATATGGCCAAAAAAGCTCTTCAGAAAAACACAGTAGAATGTAAGGTGAAATTATCTAAGACAGAAGTATATTTTATTATCAATCAAAAATCAATAATAAATTGTCAAAAACATGGGTAAAGTTATAAAGTTCAATCAAC